AAGAAAAATAAACGGGGGCCTTCTGCATACAAATCCAGATTCTTTTTTTCTTTCAAAGACAGACACCCAGGAGCATGGGCCTGCAGGTCTGCTAGTAGTTGTGCTAACTAGAGCCTATGATGTTGCTTCCATGAGTTCAGACTTATGCTTCTGGGTCACTGGCCCTATTTCATTCTCTCCCTGAGACTGAGGCCATTTTTTGTTACCTTGGCCTTCTTGTCTTTTCTTTCTTTATTGTTATTGTAGAGAAACATTTCTGTCCAACTCATGAGAGAAAACAGAGAAGATCTTTTCCCTGATCATCTCTCTGCTTCACTGACCTTTGTAACCTGCTTGGCAGATAGTTTTGCAAAATGGGAATTATAATGTGATCCACAAACAAGTAGTTGGTGAATTTTTACATTTCAAATATTTTGGAAGGTAGAAACCATGTGTTAACATAGGCATTCAAAACTGGGTCCAAACTAGTTTTGATAACTGATAACATTCATCAGCCTGATGTTACATCTTGTCATTCTCTTCTTGGGGTTCTGATAATCTATAATGGAAACAACAATAATGAAAGTCTCTAATATTCCATTTCACTTAGGATGTGCCAGACACCACCCTTTATACTTCAAACATGTTTTACTCCCATTTTCCAGGCTGCAAAGCCAAGGTTTGAACAGAAACAACTCCAGAGAACAATGTTCTATTGTCTTCTAGGTGTGGTGGTTATTTTTCAGGTGAGAGAAAACCAGGAAGAAGGAATAAGTCATACATCAAAAGTTATTACATGCCAAGGTTATTAGGTTGTAGGATTAAATATAGGTCTAGGCTTTGAAGCTTCTTTTATAACAAGCTGTATTTCTTGATTTTCAAAAAAGTAGTCTTTACTTAACTTCTACTAGGAAATATATTTCTCACTGGAAAACTTAAAATTCTTGAAGAAAAACAATGTTTTTGGGTCAGTGGGTACTGCTGCATGCTAAATAATTACATACACTGAACCTGACTGGTAAAATAGTGAGGCGCTACAACAGATAATACATTTTTGGGTACATTGATGAAGATGTATCACTGGAAAAATGGATAATTTGTTTTTGTTTGTTGTCCAAAATAAAATATGCAGCCTCACTCAGAATGCTATATGTTTCTGTTATTGATGATACTTGCTAAAAATTGTTATTTATGATACTTGTTAAAATAAAATGTAGAGACTATATAAAAATCTTCATAAATTGTCACTAATTTTAATACTCCCCCCTCAATTTGTTATAATCCCCTTTTCCAGAGCAGTGAACTGAAACTCAAAGCAAGGGAGTGACTTGCCTAAGAGCACCACCCATCTATTAAGTCTTAGAAGAATGGCTTGTACTCTGGCCTTGTAGATCATACCTACTCTTTCTATTGTACTGTGCTGTTATATCTATATACTATGTATATTTTCTGTGCATAGTATAATACATATACTTATTGGTTTAATATTCAGTCATTCATTTCCTCCTCTGTACAATAACTGATAGTATCTAGGTTTCTGTGAGAGCTTAATGCCATAAATCACATAATGCATGGAATACATAAAACATTCATAATTTAACTTGTAGAAGATGCTTAATAAATGTTAGGGCTTTAAAAATGTATCTTGTTGAGTATGTGCCAGGAACTGGACCAGGGTGATGAGGAAACTGGGCTGTAAGATATTTCATCTTTGCTTAAAAGACTTGCAATTAGGCACAAGAGATGTGTGTTGGAATGGATTTTATAGTAGGTACAGCATAATGTGACAGATATAACAGTAGCTATGGATTCACAGGAAGAGAAACAGCATGGAGAGCAAGCTGACCCTTCTCCCTCTGTGGTGAAGGAATCCTCTATACTTCCGTCATTAATGTGGTGCGCATCCCTTGAAGGTGATATTGTCAAAATACTTGGAACCAGTTGATTAAAAAATGCTTTGATCCCTTTCTCAAGAAAAGAATCACATTTAGTTAAACAAACAAAAACTATTGCATAATTAAAACATGAATATTTTTAAACAAAGACTCAAATTGTATCTAAAGAGAGATCGAGATCAGCACCTGAGGTAACTCTGCATTTCCAAGTGGGTGAGGATGGTGGGGATGAAAGTCATCATTCACAAGGGAGGTGAAATTATTCCATATCCAAGGGAAAGCCTGTTCAGCAGGTGTGGGAATGACCAGTGATGTACTGGCTCTCATGGAAGAAAGCCTGTCTATTGGGATTTGACTCTACTTCTCACACAGAGCCAGATGCAGCAGCCCTCTATGCCAAGGAAAGCTTCAGTGGAAACTGGCCCATATAACAACAGGATACCAAGTTACTTACAATAGCTACTCTAGTCTTTCATTTATAGCTATGAACCTATCATAGAAGGTCAGAAGAACTTTGAAGAAAGGCAATTGCAAGGAAAAGAAACATCAAGACAAGGGAAATAGTGGAACCCAATAGCAGAGAATGTCAGAAGTAAAACATATTAAAAATGAAACATGCTAGCAGCTGTGGGAGATTAAAGACTATTACATTTGTGAGATAAGAATCCTGCCATAAAATGCAGTAACTAGAACTCAGGAGAAAGTTCTCACACATTAACGCCATAATCTCAAAAATCATATACAGGGTAAGAAACAATTCCATGAACATAGTTGAAGACTGAATTAGTGATCTAGAAAATGAAGTTAAGATATTCTTTCAGAGCAGAGATCAAAATGACAGAAATAAATTAATAGAAGATCGAGCCCCCCAATAGATAATTGTCTATCTTTTAAGGATTTTTTTATTAGCATACATTAGTTATGCAAGAGAGATTTCTTGTAACATTTCCATTCACATGGACAGTGTAGCCATCTCCTTCACTCCTTGATCAGGCTTCTTATCTTTTCTTCTTAAAACAACTTCAGCTAGTTTTATTGTTTTGTTTTGAATATGTATATAAAACACTTTAAGTTTATTCATTCTCATTCACCCTCTCCATTCATCTTTCATCCTCACTCCCTAGGTCATATGGGGATTGTTTAGATGAAAGAAAACAGAAAAGATGGTTATGGAGAGGGTTTTGGTATGGATAGTTAAATAAACACAAATAGGGATTTTGAAAGAAGGTAAACAGAAATAATGGAGAAACAGCAGCTATGTGCATATGAGCATATGAAATGATGCTGATCAAATGAACTCTAAGAAATGGAAGCAAGAGGTATATTATTGCACTGTTTGCAGTTATTTTCCCCCTTCAATTTATATTCCCTTTTGTCACTGTTTTTGATTTCTGAACCCTTTGTCTTGTATATACATTTTTCTTGTTTGGGGAGGGGAAGGAGAAGCACAGAAATGGTGGGGCCAAGGGTGAACCAACTCAGCAGTGACATTCACTAGACACTGGGTTGGAAGTGAACTATAGAACTTGAGGAAGAAGGAGGTCAGGAGGAGAAAAACTAGGAGAAAATGGGGAAGGGTGACACTTTATAAGAAATGTACTTATTACTTCACTTATGTAACTATAACACCTCTGTACATGACCTTTACAATAAAATGTTTTAAAAGAGAAAAAAAGAAATAATGGAGAAAGAATAGAATAAATAATCGAATGTTATTTTCCCAGGTTAAAGGAATTTGAATCTTCAGGATAAAAGTACTCATTCAGTGTTTAGTTGAATAAAGGCAAAAAAAAAAAAGATACATGTCCTAGTGAAATTTCCTAACTTGAAGGCAAAACCCCCAAAATCTTAAATATTTCTAGAGGAGAAACAGAACAGATTATCTACAAAGATGTGAGAATACTTCTTTTAAACTTTTGACATACTCACTGCTGAAAGCCAATGAGACAGTGTCCTCCTAACCTCGAGTCATTTCCTCTGCAGGAATTCTGTAGGTTGTGTGCTTCCTAGTCTAGATTATTACCATGTTGCTCATGATGGTGGCCAATTCTCTGGTAGTCAGTGAGGGAGGAAAAAGAGCTATCTTGATTATTAGTACAATCCACCCACAACGTACAATAGTTATGGGTCTTGGTATACCAATGAAAATCATGGGGATTAATGAGTTAGTTAGAAATAATATAAATAATTTAGAATAAGAAGGAGACAGCTCTCAGAAATCTCTTGGGGCAATTTTCCTCCTGAATCTATAAACCATTTGAGTTCTTTTGCCAAATCCATTCAGTTATTACTTGTCATTATGCTTCATTATGCTTGCATCCTTCTGCTGCTGTGCTTACTTGCACTTTTCCTAAAGCTTTGTCAAAATGGACATTTTAGGTTTTTTTTTTTTTTGTGGAGGGATGCCTTCCAAGGTGATAGAGTCAGGGGGACTTTCTTAGTAGTTCTGTGCCTTCAGAGGGAAGCAAGTAAGGTTATCATGTTAAAATGAATGTGAGAATTATATGGATCTTCTTGCTCTAAAGGTGATGCTCTTTTCTCTTACCATTTACCATGTAGTTCTTAAGTGTGACTCCAGATGAATTGGGGCTCAGGGACCTTATGGTTGTATTTAACCTTAATGGTCATTTTATAAGCATTTCAGATGAAGACATACAGCTCGGAACTCTAGGTTCTGCTTATGGCTGCCACTAGCTGCCTAACTCTAAATAAGCTACTGCAATGTCCTGGGTTTCAATAAACTTGCCTTTAAGGTAACAGGCCTTGAAAGTACTGCCCTCCTGTACATATTTATTTTTGTTTTACATAGTTTTTACTCCTTTTTTATACCTATTCTTTTTCCAAAATTAAGTATGCACAGAACCATCTTCTGTGGCATATTTTGTGGAATATAAAAATTAACTTCCCATTCTTATAGCTGCCAGATCTTTGGAAGTGGGAATAACAAAATATTCAAGGGAACATTTAGTGTTGTGATGAGAGGTGAGAGTTGTTTCTCAGGGTTAATGGACCCTTTGCTTTTTCTTAAGACACAGCAATTCCAACCCCTGGTTAGTCTGAGTAAATGTCTCTCAAGTAAGAGTCTTGATCTTTTTCTGTTACAAATGTGGCCTCTTCCTTATTTAGCTGCATTACAGGCACTGAAGAGAAAGAAGAGGTTTGAGAAGCAGCTCACTCAGCTTGATGGCACCTTGTCCACCATTGAGTTCCAGAGAGAAGCCTTGGAAAACTCCCACACCAACACCGAGGTGCTGAGGAACATGAGCTATGCAGCAAAAGCCATGAAGGCAGTTCATGAAAACATGTGAGTGATAGCCGCTCTCCTTTGACTGGTGGCTGCCGGCAGTATGGGGAAGAGACTGAAATTATGTGGTGGTTTGGACAAGACATGTCTCACTCACTTGAGGCTTTTTTTTAAATCTATTGATGGAAAGTGACAAAAAGCAAGAAAGAAGGAAGGGAGAGAAAGTGGAAGGAAGAATATGGGAGAGAGGAAGAAAAAAACGGGAAATGAAAATGTGTTCATTTTTGCCTTCAATTCCCTTATGATTGTCTGAACTCTATTTGTAAATAATGTAATTCTATAATTTTAATGACTTTCATGCCAACATCTGGGAGGATTTTGGAGCCAGAGAACAGTGGTAGACTTTTTAGAATCATCTAGAGAGATGCCAAAGGGAATGTAGATGCCCAGATTCCTTGCTCAAGAATAGGGTTTGGCCTGCTTTCACTGTATTTGATGTCTGTATAATTTGTGGAGGGGAAAGGAAAAAACAAATCGTTTAAATAGGGATACAGGTGGACCCATTGCAACAATGAGATGTACAAGTTGTTATGTTGAAAACGAACTTTACAACTTTGGTTGGGAGGGGGAGGATTGGGTGAGGGGGCGGAGGGAGAATGGGAAGGGATGGATAGGGATGGGAAGGGGAAACAAAGGAGGAGGCTACAATGCTTGGTAAGAAATGTACTCATTATCTTGCCCATGTAATTGTAACCCCTCTGTACAATATTTTCACAATAAAAAAATAAAGAATAGGGTTTGGCTAGGCGCTGGTGGCTCACGCTGTAATCCTAGCTATTAAGGAGGCTGAGATCTGAGGATTGAGGTTCAAAGCCAGATGGGACAGGAAAGTTTGTGAGACTCTTATCTCCAAATAACCACTCAGAAAACTGGAAGCGATGCTATGGCTCAAGTGGTGGAGTGCTTGCCTTGAGCTGAGGAGCTGAGGGACAAGGCCCAGAGTTCAAGCCCGACAGACAAAAAATAATAATAATAATAATTTAATTAAATTTAAAAAATGGGGCTTGTACTTTTTGTTTTTAGGCAAGTGTTTCTTTTTTTTTCTTCTGGTACTAAGGATTGAACCCAGGGCAAGCATTCTACCTCTTGTGTCAAACTCTTAACCAGTTTTGTTTTCTTAACTAAGTTCCCTAGCCCATTCTAGCTAATATTTGTGAACCACTTACACAAAATAATAATTATAAGAATTATATTTCATAGCTTTTAAAATTATATTTATATTATCTTTAAGTAGTTGTACAAAGTGGCTATCATTCAACAAATCAGTTTATAAGTACAATGCAACTTAATTGATATTACCCCTTTCATCATTTTCCCCATCTCTCCCAACTCAGTTCTTCCCCTCACTTTCCTAGTTTCACAGGATATTCACAGGATATATATTGAATGTTATTGTTGTAAGGTAAATTATCCCAGAAGCCACGTTTTGGAAGATGGAGTATTGGAGTCTTATTATACAGTTAACAGGCCGCAGGCAGCCATTATTACAAAGGCCTGCAGTCCCCAAATACACATCACACAGCTCGGAAACAGGTTAGAGAGAAAGAAAGAACAAAAACAATGCCAACAAACCAATTCAGCTCTGATATAGAGCTGAATTGGGACACCATGATGACTGAAGACCAGCCAAGAGAAAGGACACAGCACATGATCATGGAGACACATGTGGCATGGCGTAATGGCACCTGTGCTGATCTGGGCCTAAATAGGTCGTTACAGGGAGCAGGTCCACAGGAAATTCCCAGTTCCAGACACCAGATTGACAGAGTCAGTAACCTATCAACCAAGTGCCTGCCCCTGCCTCCAGGGATCTGGGCATGCCCATCACCTGGGAGGCAGGTGATGGGCGGGGTGGTCCCTTCCCCCAGCTTTAAGACAAGGTGCCAGACCCTATCATCCACCGTGTGGCCAATATGGTGCCAGCCAGACCTGACCTCCTTACTTCATTATGGTTGCATTTTCTCCCTTCCTCCCTTCATTTGTACTTTCCTATTTCCTCCCTTTAGCCTCCAGTAAGAATATTTTTGTTTTTTAGTTTATAATCTTAGTTGCACAGCTGATTATACCCTGGATAAATTGCTTACCCTGATTTGGTTTCTCTGTTTATAACTTGGAAATAACAAGTGGTACTTAAGTTCATATGGAGATAATCGAGATAATGATTGAGATTCTTTGATTACTTTTTTAAAATATTTTTTGTAAAGATACTGTACAGAAGGTTACAGTTACACAAGTAAGGTACATTTTCTATAAAGCATTGTTTTCCCCGCCTTTGTTTTTCTCCTACTATCCCTCCCCAACTCCTCCCTGCCTCTTCTCCTTGGCAAAATTGCAAAGTTCTTTTTCAGGATAATGTCTTGTAGATCTCATTGTTAAAATGAGCCAACCTGTACCTTGTTTCAGCATTTTGTTATTTCCCTTTCTCTCCCCATATTAGAAAGATGTATTATATGATGTAGGACACAGGAATCAAATACAGTGAAAACATGGGGGAAGAACATATAAAAGAAGCAAAAAAAAATCATACAGTTCATAAAAAAAACAGTGACAAAGAAAAACACCTCTTGTGTCCCTATCTTGGGGTTCATTTCACTTAGTATCATCTTATATGGTCATATGTATTATACATAGCTTTTGACTTCCTGCTTGTCTGGTAAGATTATCCTAGATGTATACTAGTTATTGCAAGTAAGGGAAACCATGGGACCTATGTTTCTTTCGGTCTGGCTCACTTAACTTACTATACTTTTTTCCGAGTCTTTCTACTTCCTAGCAAATGGGGTGGTGTCATTCTTTCTGATGGAGGCATAAAATTCCATTGTGTGTGTGTGTGTATACATTTTCTTGATCCATTCATCTACTGAGGGGCATCTGGATTGGTTCCATATCTTAGCTATGGTGAATAATGCTGCAATAAACATAGTTGTGCTGGTAGCTTTGAAACTTTGACTATTGATTTCTCACTTTGTTCCTGGAACAAAAAGTAATCACTCAATAATCAATATTCCTTGAGGTAGTGAAATTGGCAGTAGTTTGGCTTACTTTTGCAATGGGAAATAAATGGCTGGGACTGGTCCTTCCTGATACGGGATGTTGATCATGGAATCCTGACCAAGGGAACACAAGAGTGATGTCTGAGGCATAGGAGGCAAATTTTATTGTAGGATGGAAAAAGATGGGCAGTGAAAGCAAACTTGATAACATTTTCTTGCCTTGGTAGCTCACTAATAATCAGCTGCCATTTGGGCAGCTGAGAGATCATTAGATTCATTATCAAACTCAAAATCTTCTCTTGTGACTGTAAACTGGGTACCAAAATGTATTGCCAGGCCAGCCTTTCCCATAGCATAGCAACATCATATCATTGTGTTCCTTTGGCACTTCCAGCTACAAACATTTTTTACACAAATGTCCTATGCTTTTTGTAATAAATGTATTTATTATAACATAATAAGGATTGGAGATAGAGTGTAGTGGAGAATGGTAAAAGCATTTTTATTATTATTTTATATGTGTGCTTATCTTGTGGCTTGAACTCAGCTCAGTTCCTGGGCACTATCTGGGAGCTTTTTTGCTCATGGCTAACATTCTACCACATGAGTCATCGCTCTACTTCTGCCTTTGTGCTGATTAATTAGAGGTAAGAATCTCAGGAACTTTTTGCTTGAGTTGGCATTAAACTCTTTAGATTTGAGCCTCCTGAGTAGCTAGGATTACAGGCATGAGCCAATAGTGTCCAGCCAAAGCATTATTTAGCACATAAAAATATGTTAAAGTACTAAGCTTCTCTAGTTTATATAGTCTGAGGTTAGAAAATTTTAGTTCGACTAGGCTCAGGTTTTTCAATCATTAGATCATTTAATAACAAGGGACATAGTCCGTTGAATTGAAGGAATGATTCAGGTTATTAAAGAAACAGTTCAGAGGTCGGCTTAGAAATGGACTTTGAAGTAGCTGTCTATCCTGGCTGTGTGGCTACCTGCATCTTTTGCTGAAGTTGCTGCTTCTTTGAGTGCAGTCTAAGGAAGTGATGCGCAGCTCAAAGGGGTAGTGTGTTAGCCTTGAGCAAAAGAGTTCAAGTCCCATGACTTACACCCCCCCAAAAAGTTCATCTTAGTCATGAGTCATGGTGGTCCTTAGAGATCCAGGCAAATCCACTGCAGAGTTGATGTACAGCAGAATATATCTAAATTTTACTTATGTTCTACTAGACAAAATTTCAAGTGAGTCTATGAATACGGAAAAATAATTTGTCATACAGTGAGCGACTCTCAAAAGTAATGGGTACTTACTTAATATTTAAAATATGTGTGCATGTTCAGGGTTAAGTTTTTTGAAATGCAAATTATAATCAAAGTTGATAAATACTATTATCAGGATTTTTTGTTGTCGTATAGAAATCACTAAGTGGTTATGTTAAGATGATTCCTTTTTTATGACATTATATCTAGATTCATTATTGTACATGAAAATTCTAAAACATTTTCAAAAAATATTATTTCCCAGGGATCTGAACAAAATAGATGACTTGATGCAAGACATCACTGAGCAACAGGATATTGCCCAAGAAATCTCAGAAGCATTCTCAGAACGGGTTCAATTTGGCGATGACTTTGATGAGGTGGGTGATGATATAAAAGGGACAGTATCTCTCAGGAAGTATTGTCCCTGCAATAAAGGGAAGCTCCTGTCCTATACAATAGGCAGGTCTCTTAATTACTTCTAGCATGAATGCTATTTGTTGAAAACAAACTTCCCATAGGAGGGATAGCTCTGATTTAAAGAAAAGATTAATAGAGTTTGGTAAACAGCCTTCTAATTAAGTTTTCAGCTATTAAGAAAAAAAAACCAGCATGTGACTATATGAAGTTAGTGACTTTTAGTGTTTAGAGTGTAAATGGCCCCATTATGAGGCATCTTGTGTTCACACATCTGGACAAGGAAAGCAGGCTGTGTCACTGCAAGGAAAAGACATATCATGCTCTGTGTCTGCTAAATTAGAGGGTAGACTGCCTCTGTTTATTATGCAGACTGTGAAACAAGATAGGCTTGGAGTGTTATTATTAACACACATATTCCATTTAGATTAATCAGTCTAATAGTACAGGCAGACTGTAATTAAATGGTGGTGTTTGCACTGTGAATTTCACTGGTACTCAAAGCACACATGAGTAGGAGCAGGACGTGTTTAGAAACCCTTCCAAATGTTCCAGTAACACAGCAAAGAATCCAAGTTTCTGCTTTTATGTGATAGTAAACAAAATACATCCAGCAAATAAAGTGTGACTCCATGTAATCCTACAAAATGACAGTTATCACCTATTTAAAATGGTATGGACCAGAGTTTGGCAAAAATAGAATGTGCCAGCCAAATCATCCTATGGCCAGTTTTTTTTCTTTTCTTCATTTTTGGTGTGTGTGTGTGTGTGTGTGTGTGTGTGTGTGTGTGTGTGTGTGTGTGCGCGCATGTGTGTGTATGTGTGTATGTGTATGTGTATGTGTGTATGTGCATGCACACGCAGTGGTCCTGGGGCTTGAACTTAGGGGCTGGGAGCTGTCCCTAAGCTTCTTTTGCTTAAGAATAAGGATCTACCACTTAAGCCAGAACTCCACTTCTGACTTTGTTCGAGGGTAGTTAATTAGAGATAAGCGTATCACAGACTTTCCTGCCCAGGTTGGCTTTGAACAGTGATCTTCAGATCTCAGCCTCCTGAGGAGCTAGGACCACAGGCATGAGCTAGGGCCTGGCGTCATGGCTTGTTTTTGTATGGCCTGTAAGGACAGGTAATTTTTCTTTGTTATGATCCATCTACAATCAATTCAGTTTTGATACCCAATCTCTTTCTGAGGGGAGTTGATCTCTACCCAAGGACTTACAGAGCTCAGTAGTTATGAACTGCTTACATTAGCTCAGATCTGGTATTGGAAGTTCTCAAGTGACTGTTGTTTGGATAGGGAATTGTTTAAGGTTAAACCCTGGGATCATTGTTGGAAAGATGAGTTTGATGAACCCAAACAAACACAATTTATGAAATGAAAGAAGTGTTTGATGAACCCAAACAAGTACAATTTATATTGACTTTGATGATTTACAAAGGAACCACAATATCTCTGAATCTTTTTTTGTATGCACCGTAGTTTTGCTGTGCTTGGATGTTTTTTTAATTTAGTAGTATTAATCCAATAAAAAATATTTATTTTCTCCAATTAGTTTCATGGGTTCTCATCAGGAGAAGAGAAAAGAATGTAATGCAATAATGACAGGCAAGGTGTAAATTTCTCAGAAACTGAGGAGATTATATATTCAGCTAGCACAAATTACTTGAATGGCTGTTTACTGAAGTATTATAAGATTAACTACAACAAATTTGCACAACCTCAAATATTCATTTTTAATCATTGCTCAGTGTTGCAACAAAGACTTAGTTTTAAAATAAATATTCCATTTCACTGGGTTCTCACATATCAATTGGGTAGCAGATGTTCTCATTATTGTGTTTAGGGAAACCCACTTCTTGAAACGTTAGCTCTGTAATTCTTTCTTTCTCCTGTGTTCAGGATGAGTTGATGGCAGAGTTTGAAGAATTGGAGCAAGAGGAATTAAATCAGAAGATGACAAATATACAGCTTCCAAATGTGCCTTCCTCTTCTCTTCCAGCACAGCCAGCTAGAAAGCACAGTATGCCCTCCTCTGCACATCCATCATCCCGAGCAGGTCTGCTACCCAGCACCATTACCTAGGTTCCCATAATTCCTTCAATATAACCAAGCCCATCACTTTACTTATATTTCACTTACTAAATAAATTTGTTTTGGTGCAGGTATTGGGGCTTGATTCAGGGCCTGGATGCTGTCTCTGAACTATATGTTCAAGGCTATCATTCTACCACTTGAGCCACATCTCTAGCCAGCTTTTTGCTGGCTGATTGGAGATAAGAATCTTATAGACTTTCTTGCCTAGACTGGCTTTGAACCTCAATCCTCAGGTCTCAGCTTCATGAATACCTAGGATTACAGGTGTGAGCCACTGGTGCCAGCTTTCATAAATGTATTTTTGTATGTAATTCGTACCTGCTTTTTTTCATGGTGAAACTATAAGTGATACTAATGACCCATTTTTAAACATCACTTTTATGTTTCAGCCTCATCTAGGAGAGCAGAAGAAGACGATGATGAGTTCAAACAGTTGGCAGCATGGGCTACTTAAACTACAATGGATTTTATTTTCTTCTCCTTTGGATGCCAAAATGAACCAATTATTCATAAAAAATGTTGTTTAGTTTTGCCAAATTTAAAAGTAAATAATGACTTTATTTTATATTCATCCTTGGTGAATATTGTTTTTTAAGCTTCAGAAGGAAAGGTTAGGAAAGGACTTCCTAGTAGGTTGGGAGAGGAGCCTTGCATGTGGATGGGGGGCAGGGCATTTGGAATTTCTAGTTTTGGTCCATAGTTGATATTCTGTATATATTTGTGCAAAGGAATTTAATTCTGCTAATATATTAGACATATAGCAATTTATAAGCCATTTATACGGCATACTTTAAGGATAGCTGGGAAAATTTCTATGTGAAGGTAAGTTTGCCAAGTGCGTCCATATCACCCCAGGTAATGTAAATACCCCAGGAATAGACTCTTTAGCCTCTCTTAGAAGAGGCTTCTTGTAGAGAAGTCTTGTATGAGTCTATACATACATAGCTTCACTTGAGTTTTGCTGTTTAAAATCTTAAAGCAGCTCTAATTGACATTTATTATGCCAATTAAGCTTGGAATGGGGCAATAGCTGCACTTCCCAAAATGTCTGAAAGCTCTAATGGTTTCCACCGCTGAGTGAGACTCTCCTGGGGGTAATTGAGCCACTTAGGAGCTGTATGGCCACTTTGAGGCCATTATGATGCTGTTTTGGCTTCGTGGTGCCTGTTCATTCTCTACTATTTTGTGTTCTCTTGTACATTTTTTAATACTTCACAGAATACACGCTGTAATGTATATAAAATGATTGGCAATTAAACATTTATCTTAAAATTTTGGCCATGATTATTTTTTAAAGGAAAATAAATTATAAAATGATTTACCCTCCATAATGTATGAGCATACAATTACAAATGTTGTTATATAAAACACCCAGGTATTCTATCCTATTTAGTGATAGTGGAATACAAAGACTACTAGTCGCAAAGATTTCAGTCTGAGAGTCCTGGGTTCCAGTCCCTGCCTTGTCATTTACACAATGCCATAAACTCCCTGTGTGCTTGTCTTAGTACTGCACAGTTTAAGGGGTGGACTTGATGACCCCTAATGATTCCATTAGGTGGTTTGCATATGCTGTTTTGTTTTCTTGGGAATCTTCCTGCCCTACAAATCACTAATTTCACAGCTTTCTAATTCCTTAGATCCTGGTTCAAATGCCCTTTTTCTTGGGAAACGTTTCTTGATTCCCGGTCTAAGTTATGTCTTCCCATTATATATTATATCCCCACTATATATTTTATTCACAGCACTCTGCTCCCTCTCAGACCATTTTTCAGGATTTATATTACATATTCACTTGAGCAATTACTTAACTATTGTTGTTTTTCTCTGCTAGGCTGCAGTAACCTGAGGGCAGACACCATTTATTTTGTAGTTCAATAGTTCATTCCTAGTTCTCTGCCATTTTTCAGGTACAGCAGGCATTCAATCAATATTTATTAAATGAACCACAATTAAATTTTATATCTTTTGGACTCTGACGGACTAATTGGAATTAGACTTACCTCTGCTCTTAAATAACCAGAAACCGGACAAAGTTGATATAAAACAACCGTTTTCAGATATTCGATGATAATGACTGCATGGTGATTCCTAAGGGAAGGAAATCATCAATGGCGTGAGCGCTGTCGGTGCCTGGCTCTGTCTTCGTAGGGAAGGGGAACCCAGATGGCCCCTTTGCTTGCTGAGTTGTGGAAAGTTGGAGGCAGAAGTCCTGCAGAGGAGGTAGCTTTGCCGGGGGGGGGGGGGGGGGGGGGGGGGGGGGGGGGGGGGGGGGGGAGCGTGAGCTATGACCTGGAGCTTTGGGTTGCACAAATGAATGCATTGTAATCCTGATTCCCAGGATGATGGCATTAGGAGGTGGGGCCTTTCCAAAAGTATTAACGTCAGGGAGGCAGAACTTTCAGGAATGCAGATATTTCCTTATAAAATTTAGGCTCAGCTGGGCTCTGAGGGGATCATGTCTGTAATCCTAGCTATTCAGGAGGCTGAGATCTGAGGATTGCACGCATTCAAGCGCGCGCTCGCATGCACACACACACTCACTCACACACACACTCACCCCCCCCACACACACTCACCCACCCACCCACACCCACACACCCACACACACCCCACACACAAATGAGGCCAAGAGACTGTGCTCACAGCCGAAGATGCTGAATGTGAACTAATGAGTGCGCCCTCACCAATCTGCTGCTGCCTTGAACTTGGGCTTCTCAGCTTCTAACTGTGCTAAATAAATTTTCGTTGTTGATACGCTCTCAAGTCGAGTATAGTGGGTCATGCCTGTAATCATAGCTACTCAGGAGGATAAGGTCAGGAGAAATATGGTTTGAAGTTAGCCCTGGTAGAACAGTTCATGAGACTCCCTATCAAGCAATAAAGGCTGAACGTGGTGACCATGTAGCTGTTATCCCAGCTACACAGGAAGTATAAATCGGAGGATTGCATTCTTTTAATTTCAAAATACTGTTTTAAAAATTGGGTCTTGATTCATATACTAGAAAACCTTATTATTTGAACAATGTGGGTGTGCGAATCTGCTTTTGCTCCCGTAAAATTTATGAAATCTATGTATGAGCCAAGACTTTTTATTATTTTGTGATGTTTTTGAGATGGGGAACTATGTAGGCCCAGGGTGTTTTTGAACTCATGATCCTACTGTGTCAGCCTCCCAAGCGGTAGAGTTACAAACATGAACCATTACACCCAGTCCTGGATCAAGATTTCTAGAGCAAATTTACATCTGATGTGTGTATCTAAGTGTAAAATACACTTTAGATTTCAATGCCTTAGTACAATAAAAAGAATGTATAATACCTCATTAGTAATTTGATATTGGTTACATATTGGAATACAATTTAGATGTACTTTGTTCAATAAAATGTATGATTGGAGATTTATCTCAGGTTTCATTTTCCTTTTTAAACAGGTAGCTATTGAGAAATCACTCACGTGATTGTTTACAATTATGCTGATTAATCCTGGACAAACTCCTCATTATCAAGGAGGATACAGATAATGTGTGAAGTATGCTAAAACATTAGAAAGTAATTTTGTACTATAGATGAAACGAAATAAAAAGTTGGCTCATGTATCCACCTAGCCATTTAGACCCTCCTAAACAAAAGCAGGAAGGGAAGGGACTTAAAGTGCTGAAATCAAGGTGATCCTACCTAATGAAGAGTCAACAAAAGATGGTCACCTAAAACCTAACCCATCAATGAAAAATATCGATGTCCACTCAATAGCTGAGAAAATTTAATCCTCACTGCAACATTGTTTCCTTCTTGTCAAACAGAGTCTTAGCACTGACTTCTTTAGTTAAATAGGAGCTAGAAATAGTTTATAGATCAGCAGGGTATGAGTTTTAGTAAACAAATGGGATAATGCATCAAAATTAGCAAGTCCGTACAAAGAAAAAAAAGGAAGGGGACTCAAATAAGACAGGCTAATAAAGATAACTTGGTTTGGTACCATTATATTACAGCCCTAGGAGATGAATTGATGAAATGTTAGTCAATTTCTATCCCATCGCTTCACTTTCTTTCTCCTAATTACTTAATTTGAGACAGGCATTAATGTTTCTTTTTTTGCTTTCCTTTTTTATTTTTTTATTGTAAAAATAGTGTACAGAGGGGTAGGCATTAATCTTTCTGTTGGAGAAAGTGTTTTTTAAGTAGCTAAAAAATCTGTGGCCACTTTCAGCTTCCCTTTATATCACTAGTTTCTTGGCTTACTAAAAGCTTGCTTACACTATGTAAAAGACATGAGCTATTTTTTCAGAAGAAAAAGACAGTATACATTAAAGGAGTTAAGAAGGACGAAGCAACCAAGTTTTATTTAGAAGAGAGAGAGATGTACAAATACTGCGCAAATAGACATGGTTCTGATTAGGAATGATTCTTTGGATTGTTTCTAGTATGTTATTCAATTATTTATGTCAGGAGGGTGAAGTGTCTCCTCTCTGCAGCAGAAAAACTTGAGTTTTGGGGCTCTGTGGAGTGTGGAAGGGATGGCATGTACATGGTTGATTCTTTTTGTTACAGAAATATATCACCACCTTCTCTTTGATTTTGCTCTCCACATCTTCAATTATGTCTGTAGGTCAACTATAGTCCAGAAATCTTAAAGGGAACATTTCAGAAATCATTCCTGACATATAACTTATATGCTGTTCTTAGTATCATGATAAAACAGAGCTATCTTGCTCTGTATCTCTTGGGATATATATCATCTTTATCCAGTGTATCCAGGCTACAGAGGCCACCTGCACTAGTCATCTTAATTATTAAGGCCAACTGTCACAGCATCACAGTTCTCTTATCCAAATAACCATTATTTTACTTCATGATGGTCTCAAAGGGCAAGAGTAGTAGCAATGGTGATTTTATTATAGGACGTTGTATTGTTATAATTGTTCTACTTCATTATTAGTTCTTATTGTTAATTTTTTATTGAGCCTAACAAAAATGAAACCTGATTACAAGCAGGTATGCGTAGGAAAAATGGTGTGAATATATAGGGTTTGATTGTATCCACACTTTCAGGTATCCATTGGGGTTCTTAGCCTATTTCCCACCCATAAAGAAGAAGTACTGTAATATTGTATATTCAATATACACATGTGTGTATGATATATGATATATCTTTATATATATATATCTGTTTTCTTTCTCTTGCCTCATAAACATGAATCTTTCCCATATGTTCCATGATTTAGTTCTTTGTCCCCTCCCTTTTCTAGTCTCCGTAGATCTTACTTCAATATAGCTTTAATCATCACTTCTATGGGAATGACTGAGGGCACATATAGAAACTTACTTGCATAATCAATATTAAATACTTGCTGTGTTTATGGTTTGAATGTCTGTATCTTTCTCCAAAATTCATGTTAAACTTAATTCTGGTGGTAGTTAAGAGATGCTGGGGCCTTTTGGGAAGTGCTTATGTTATCAGGAATCTGCCCTTGTAAACAGGATTAATCACCTTTAAAATGAGACTTGGAGAACCGCCTATCCTTCCAAGTCTCATGCCATGTGAGTACGTAGTATTCATACCATTAATCCTCTTTTGCCTTTACATTTGAGAACATAGTACTTCCCTTTTCTGCCACATGGGGGCACTGTGAAATGTTCTCTTAGACACCAACTTGCTAATAATGCCAAGACCTTGGACCTTTTATTCATGGTTAATTTTTATTGAGGAAGTCTTGCACAAGATGTCTTTTCCTTCCTCCTGCTTTAAAAATTCTCTTTGTCAGTATTTTGTTCTCCTTGCTGGGGGTTGACCACAGAGCCATGCGTCTCCTGGACACACGCTCTATTATTTACCTCCATTACATCCATCTTTTAAAAAATACATTTTTATTGTGAAAATACTGTACAGAGGAGTTACAGTTACATGAGCAAGGTAATGAGCACATTTCCTGTCAATCATTGTTGCCTCCTCCTTTGTTTTTCCCTTACCATCTCTTCCCTCCCTCCTCCATAACTACTCCCCCTCCCAACCTAAATTGTAAAGTTCGTTTTTCAACATGGTGTCTTGTACATCTCTCATATCCATCTTTTGATACTTCAAATATAATGTCTCTTTGAGCTCATTCTTCTTATAAAGAAATAGCTGTTTAGTTGGTAACATTCATGTTTTCCATCAAATTTGGAAGTTGTTGGCCGTTATAGCCTCAGTCATTCTTTCTATCCCTCCCACTCTTTCTCCTTTTGGGACTAATATTATGTATATGTTGGGATATTTGATATTTCTTATGTAGGTCTCTAAGGCTTTGTTCATTTTTGTCTTTCTTCTTGGTAGACTACATAATCTTATTTGTCTTATTTAAAAGTCCACTGATTCTTTCTCTGCCTGCTCCCTGCTCTTATCATACCTTCTAGTGAAATTTTCATTTCAATTATTATGTTTTCCAGCTTCATAATTTCTATGTAGTTTATTTTTCACAAAGCTCTCAGATATGATTTCTGCTAATACTTGTATAGTTTCATTTTTAAGGTTTGTCTCTTTGATCCATTTTGAGTTGATTGTTGTTGGTGGTGGAAGAAATGGATCTGGTTCTATTCTCCTGCATATATGCCGATCCAATTTTGCCAGCACCACTATATTTTCTCCATGTTATAGTATATTATTGACATGGTGGGAGTGAGGATTTAATTCTGGGTTCACTATTCTGTTCTGGCCTGTTGAGTCAGTTTTAGGCCTCCACTATGTTGATTTAATAACTGTAGACCTTTGGTGTGTCTGAAGTCAGGCATTGTGCTACCTCTAAGCTTTTTCTTTCTTTCTTTTTTGTTAGTGTTGCTTGTTCATTTGTAATTTTTTTCCACCTTAGGATGGCTTGAGTATTCTGGATCTTTTGTGTTTTCTTTTTTTTTTTATTTTGGTTGGGGGGTCCGGTCATGGGGCCTGAACTCTGGGCCTGAGTACTGTCCCTCAGCTCTTCAGCTCAAGGCTAGCACTCTACCACTTGAGCCACAGCGCCACTTCCGGCTTTTTCTATTTATGTGGTGCTGAGGAATCGAACTGAGGGCCTCATGCAGGCGAGGCAAGCACTCTCCCACTGAGCCACCTTCCCAGCCCTGTTTTCATGTAATTTTATT